ACATGGACGCACTTTTCATCATTCAGAGGAAGGTGCCAGTCCAACGACCACTGCTTGGCAGCGTCTACATCCATTTGGAGGGCGCTGGCATTGGAACTCCAGGATTTCAAGTCGTCCGCAAAAAGTAAACATGGACTCGCAAGAACGTCTGGGAGGTCGTTGACGTAGATCAGAAACAGGAGTGGTCCCAAGACGGAGCCTTGAGGAACTCCAAGGGAGACCGGCGCTGGACAGGAATAGGTTGAGCCTATTCTCACTCGGAATGACCTGTCTGATAGGAACGCCTTGATCCAGCGAAGGATTTTCCCTTGAATCCCGTAAGACTCGAGTTTGTGGAGCAGCGAGACGTGTGGGACCCTATCAAATGATTTTGAGAAGTCAAAAGATATGGCATCCGATATGAGTCCTTCGTCCTGGGCCTGGGTTAAGCCGTCCATTAACGCGAACATGTTTGTCACGCAATAGCGGTTCGGGGGAAATCCGTGTTGAGCTGGAGATATCAGGTTGCTGGAAGTGAAAGTGATCTAGGATAGCTCGCTTCAGAATGCGTTCCATCACCTTGCACGCCACGCTAGTGAGGCTTATAGGCCGGTAGCTGCCAGACAACATTCGGTCACCAGTTTTGTAGATTGGCGTGAGAATCGCTCCCTTCCAAGTAGAGCAAAGGCGGCCTTCGTCAAGCGACTGACGAAACACCAGGTGTAGATGATTTGCCAGTGTGGGAAACGTTTCTTTCAGGATACTTGGGTGGACCTCGTCAGGTCCCAAACCGCAGAATGGGTTGAGGCCCCACGAGGATCCTGAAAGAAACATCCTCCACACTGGCAAATAATCTACACCTGGTGTTTGGTCAGCGCTCAAAATGAGCCAAAACTACATGTACGGTGTGTCGTATTTAGTACGTATCAACTTCAGCATTTAGGAAATTCGAACACTGCTGGCAACACTGGCGGCCCTCATTCAACGGATACTGAAACACCATTGGCTGTGTGGTTCACATTTCCGACCACTCAGAGCTCGCCTTGCTACTGGACTGACAGCCTGCTCGTCTTCTGATCAATCGCGTGCAACATACGCTTACCGGTCGTTGCGGTACGCGCTTGCAAGTTGTAAGTTTGTTTTGGCGTAAGATTCCGGCTAATACCAGGCCACATTTACTGATATTTCGAGTAGTCCCTCGTAAATTAAAAGGATAATCCAGTGATTCAACCAAGAGCCCGATGGTAATCCAAACACTAAGGAGTCAGACACTCAGGAGTCCCTTTCCCCCCTCGCTTTCGGGCTGCTCGAGCTTTCCGTTTCTGGCTCCGGAAAGGCCCTCCGAGTAAACTCTGTCATCCAATTTTCGGAAACACTGCTGAGGGAGAATAACCTAGTTTTCCCGCTGTTTTGTGAGTCCGATCTTTATTTGAGGTCCCCCATAACAACCTCCCCTTCGGTCTTCTCAACAGACAGCTTTACTTTGTTTTCTTCACACATCCCTGCAGGCCTCATTTCCACATATAAATAAATAATAAATCGTTCAGCTGTAGCACCCTTCCGGTACTTAGCTGCCGTGCCACCAGAAGGAAGCACGAGGGCTGGGATACTCTCAGGTCGCCCAAGCCTAGACAGGGGAAGTCGAGAGGCAGAGGTCGGGTTCAAAACACGGATCTTCCGGTCAGTAAATTCGCTCTCTAACCGCTTGGTCTATCTCCCTCCCCGTTTCCACATAGATTGACGTCCAATCCCGATCTTGGCTACAGACGCTGTATGCTACGATGAACCGGTACCCTCCACCTTCATTCTAGCGTGATAAGAACAATCAAGGTTGACGAGGGCAGTGTGACTCCAAGAATGGAGAAGGAACCAGTGCATATTTGCAAACGTAGCTTCAGGGTTGTCAGGCAGTGTAACCGGACCGTTGGGGACATAACTAGTACGATTGTTGCCTGAGACGTGAGTTCCTGAGGCCAGCGCAGCTTTGCAACTGAGGCGAGATTGAACCCAGGTATCTTTGCCTCAAACTTGAACCCAAGTCTTCGTTGGCAATTCCCGGGCATTTTATGGGCATAGTGAGTCTGGATGTTACACGAACAGCAAGGAGGATGGCCTATAATGACTCATGGTGGAAAGTGTCGAGCACATGTCAGTAATGCCAGCGGTAGTTTGTTACTGGAATCTTCTATTTTCAAGAAGTTGACATAGAGTGAATATGTGGTTCAATTTCTCGGGGCGAAAACCAAACCTCTTGTGTTGTGTTCGAACATTGTGTATTTCCGGAAACCTTCCGAGGAGTACAGAAGCGGCTACGTCCAGGGGACTCATTTCTCTATAAGTTTCGCCTTCTGCTTTGTCATTTTCACTACCAATCGAGAGCAAAATCGAGATGCCCCAACCATAAGGAATAAACTCGGCCTTCCAAAAGGAACAGAAGTGTGTTGAGACGTGGAAGTATTGCAGGGAGATAATGGTTATACAGTGGTTAAGGCGCGAACTTTCTGACCGGCGAGTTGGTGGTTTGAACCCGGCCTCTGCATCTCGACTACTCCTGTTATAGGCTTGTTATATAACTTAACGGTATCTCAGCATTCGTGGTTCCTTCGATTGGCATCGCAGGTGAGCACTGAAAGGGTGTTACAGCTGAGCCATCATCACTTTTCATCAAAGAACTGTCATTCGTTCTTTAAGCTTTTCCTTTTTTGAGGTGATCGATGGTCGAAATAATCTCTGACTGGATGGACAGTTCGTAGTTGATAGTTTGAGGCTCCAATATAGCTATTTGAAGCGTTCCCATTTGTATATCGGGTTGCTTTAACAGTTGGAGGACTGTACTCAGTTTCTATTCCAAGTGGTCCGCTATCCGCTATCTGTTTCTGCTGCACAAAAGTGGTTGCGTTAGTTGGGCAACAAGATGTAAGCGAAAAAGCTGAGCAAGGTCACTTCATATACAACTACAGTTGGGCAGTATGAAGCACGATGGTTTCTAGCAGACCTTGTAACCTTAGCTGGGAGGCCGAGAGCATTGTCGAGGCATTTCGGTATTGCGCATCGTCTTATATAAAGTCAATGGAGTCTGTGTTGTGCAGCCAAGACAGTCCTCCTATAGAGTGGATGTTTTAACTACAAATCACTGTTTACCAATCGATACGAAGTAGTTGGCTGTGAGCTGCGTTGTTGCATTGTTGAGGAGGTTGCTTTTGGTCCCTTTGTGTCTGAGTGGAAGGATGTCAGTGTTTCAGGAGTCGATATTTTTGTCTCGTAGCGAGGTACGGCTCGACTGTCGGTCACATGAGAGCATGGTCCGGTCCTCTTCTGTTCGCAGTTCCGGCTCGAATTGACCGACAACCTTTTACTGCTGATGCCAATGAGGGTATAGTCGACTTGAGAGACAGTGTGACCTTCTTTAGAGTACCACATGGGTAAGTGCCTATTAGGCTGCTTGAGACGAATGTTGGTCATGACTAGGTGGTTCGAGACGGAGCGATAAATCTGCCACAGTCCTCACCTCTTTTTCCTAGCTATGACGGTTGACGTCTCATCGGGTTACATGAGCGTTCCAGCCTTCTGCAGCGCCTAGATATCCCATTGACCATATTTTGAAACTCGCGTTCTTTGTCGGTAGTTACACTTGTTTTTTCAGGATATCTCCACAATAGGCTATGGCAGTTCCGGGCGTGGTGGGGTTCTCAGATAGGATGTCAAACATGCGATACCCAGTTTGCAGTCATGGAAACCATGAGGAGTTTTCTTCAACTGCAGGCACTCAGCAGGGTGTACACATTCCAGTAGCCAATGTGGTCAAATCTTTTCTTGTTCAGGGCCTCAGATAGCTTATTGCTCGACCCTGCCGCTCGGCCAACACATAGTGTATCCTCCTTTTTGTCGTCATCACCATCATCAGAGACAGCAACATCAGTGGTGACACGGATGCTTCAGTGCTGTGCAACTATGAATTCATCTAATTATATTTAAAGCCTTAGAGTGAAAAGAAGAGAAAAAGTGGGTGAAGGAGGGAAACTAGTACTGGTCTATGTCAAGCATTTGGAGGTGCCCCCACCTCCAAGCACTCAATCAAACAGTCTGGATAGAAACCGACAGCAGGAACCCCACTGACATTGACTGGCCGCCATTTCTTGCAACTTCTCCAGCCAAGCATAGACGGGGTCACGGGTATCCCCAACAACATCCAAACTCTTCGTAATCTCTTTCACACCCTTCTGCCGAGTAATATTGTTCACCTTGCGGTTTGCGCCATTCTAAGGAGGCACAGAAAACAATAACCTGGGCATTCGTGGCACATATCCAAGCCACTGCAATTAATGGTGCTGAGTGTTTTCCGCGATTGAAGTACCTGCCGCACAACCAAATGCCCGTTTCCTCGTTGCTAATCCGTTAATGCCATCCGACACCAGCAGCGCTTCTGAGGCATCGGTGGTCAAACATCTGAGGACGCCTCACATCATCTATCCACAGAAGCCACACACCCAACAACAACACAGCCCTTACACAACCCAGCCTTCCGCCTGTTATACGCGACCCTGGGGACTCAGTGGTACGCCTTTTTGACACAACAAATGACGCAAATTAGCAAACGTGATTTAGGCCTCTGAGGTTCTTGCACTGACCTCATCAGGCACATTTCCGTTAGAGCTAATACAACTACCGAGGTATGTAAAATTTTCCACAACTTCCACGGATTCTTCTTGAATTGTAAGGCTGTACATTCTGAAGCATGACCTTGCACTTTTAAAGGTGCAAGGCGCATGACGATGATGGTGGCCAGTCTATTCAACAGGGCTTGTGCTTCGACTTGATCCTCAAAGATGTGAGAAATGACGTCTACGTACTCCAAATCGACAAAGTTCTCACCAGCAGCAAATTGAACACCGGGGTTTTGAAGACCTTCCAGTGTTCGTCTCTTTATTTCATCAATGATGAAGTTAAACAAGAATAGAGTGAGTGGACATCCTTGTCGTACACCACTTATTGTAGGCGAGCTTTTGGAAAAAATCAAATTCAAATTTATCAGCTATGAACCGTATACCATAGGCACATTGATTCTAACTGCTACAGTGTCGATCACCGGAAAATGGGAGAGTGTGGGACATACAGCCAATTCTTGCAGGCGATAGCATTTTCAGTTTGTTAGGAACTTAAGTAGCTACGCATTGAAGGCGATAGTTTTGATGCACGAGCGTCGCTGACTGTGCGATTGGGCCATTTCTGCTTTCGGGAAGCTCACTATACACTCTCACGCCCAGGAGTACCTAAACATAGGGATCGGATTATGACCGTAAACTTCTGTGGCATACCCTGTTGAGCAAATGCAGTTAACAGCACTGACCGATCGACAGAATCGAACGCACCCTTGTAGTCAAGGTACACTAAGATTTTGGATCGTCTGTGCATATGGCGTTGCCCTAAAACCTGATGGAGTGTGGAAATGTGGTCAATGCAATCCCTACCCGCTTGAAATCCCGATTGCTTGTCACGAGTCGAGAGTTCGCGTACCACCATAAGACGACGAAGAGTCAGTGACGCCAACTGGCTTGTCACGACGTGATTCAAACTAACACTTCTGTGGTTGGTACATTCACTACAAGCACTCTTTTTGGAAATGGGTATCACTGTCGATTCACCCTAGTTGTGTGGGACGGTCTCTATCTCCCAAATAGGCCCAAATAGGTTATATGGACACTGCCTGAGAAACGCACCGCCA